CTCAAGTGGTAGAGCGCTAGCCTTGAGCTGAAGAGCTGAGGGACAGCGCCCAGGCCCAGAGTTCAGGCCCCACGACCAGACTCCAAAAAAAAAAAAAAAAAAAAGAAGACTGTTCAGCACCAATTGATCATGCCTGTAACCCCAGCTACTCAGGAAGTTGGGATCTGAGAATCTGAGGATCTGAAGTTGGAAGCCAGCTCAGGCAGGAAAATTTGTGAGACTCTTATCTCCAAATATCCACCAAAAAGCTGGAAGTCTGTGACAGTGCCCAGGCCCTGAGTTCAAATGTCAAGACTGGTACACACGTACACACACACTGACCTGAATCCTTTCTTTGTTTCTTCACAAAAGACAGCAGGAGGGAAAAGTATTTAACGATTCTACAAGATGTCACAAGAGCACTAATTCATGTAAACTTAATCATGCAGCTGGATGCTGGTAGCAGAGAATAGGAGGATCATAATTTGAGGCCACCTCAGACAAGAAGTTTGTGAGGTTGTAAGAACAGTCCCAGAGAAACCCAGATTCTCAACAGAAAAAGCTGAGCCTGTTATCCTAGTTAAATGAGAAACATAATAGGAGGATCACAGACCAGGCAAAAAGTGAGAAGCTACTGCAGAATAAAAGGGCCGGGATCATGGCTTAGTGGGAGAGCACCTGTGAGCTTAGAGCTCTGAGTTCAGCCAGGCCCCAGTGGCTCACGCCTGTTATCCCAGCTACTCAGGAGGCTGAGATCTGAGGATCATGGCTCAAAGCCAGCCTGGGCAAGGAAGGCCGTGAGACTCTTATCTTCAATTAACCACTCAGAAAACCAGAAGTGGCTCTGTGGCTTAAGTGGTAGAGCGCTTGCCTTGAGCTGATAGAGCTGAGTGACAGCACCCAGGCCCAGAGTACAAGCCCCACAACCAAACAACAACAACAAAACCTTAATCATGCACCAAAACCTTCAACAAACATCCTGCATTTGTTAGAGAGACTTGAGGGCGTCAGGCACTTGTCTGTGGTGGGGGTGGGGCCGCACCTGTGTCTGCAGGACCGAGGAAGGTGAGTGACCCCTCCGGCAGGGTCTGGCCCAGGACTCTCAGTGTGTTTTCCAGGTCCAGGAGCAGCTGAGTGGCCACACAGTGCTGCTGTGAGCGAGGCAGGGTCTGCAGGTCCCCAGGGGTCTCCAGCAGCTCATCCAGACTCTCCAGGACACTCTGGAGGATGGAGGGCAGAGGCAACGTGACCACAGGCCAGAGAGATGGCATGGAGAAGGTAAACCACGTGGCCACGGGGCCCAGAGACCCGAAGATAATCCAGAGCGGATGGAAGTTGTGCCCAGGTTGAGAGCAAGAGAGAAACTAGTGAGTGCACTTGGTGTATGTGCGTGTGTGTGTCTGTGTGTGTGTCTGTCTGTCCTTCCACAGGCGGCAGGACCCCGCCGCCCCGCGGGCTCTCCTCTGTCAGATC